TGTTGTTTTGAAAATAAATTTTGTGAAGTTTGGTTTTGCATACTTTCGAAAAACAAGAATTCATGTATTTGGGATTTTTGGCATATGTATATGTTCGTGTTGGGAAGTTATAATATTTTTTTGGCACGGGGCTAAATATTTTAATAGGTTTCAGTATTAATTCGAAGAAAATATTGAAAAAATATGTACCAGTATTCATGGCGGTTTTCAACGGTCGAGAAAGTATTCATTCTTGACAGTTTTCAGAATATGTATGAGTATTTACGGCTGTTGTCAAAGCATCGAGGAACATTATTCCTGGTGGTTTCCTTTTGTACACGTGAAAGTATATACGACGGCTTTTTATTGTTTCGTGACGGTTGAAAACCGTCAAGAATAGTGCCCCCGACGGTTTTCTACTTTTCCCCACGGTTTTTTTTCCATCGCATATAAAGCCATAAATGTTGTAGTGACTAGATCACAATATAATTATTAATTATTGCAATTTATTCTTTTTTAAATCAACTGCAGTAATTTTTTTTACATAATAACTATTTACATACTTATGCTATAAAAGTTTAATTTAATCAAAATATTATGTCTGTATATACTAAAATAATTAATTAATTTGAAAATTGAAACTACATTAGTAACTTGAAACGACAGAATCTCACGTAAATGCTTTCTTACATGCTTATGATATGTGAGTGAAAATTTCTTAAAATATTTTATGTAAAATAATTTCTTTGTTTAACTCAAAGTTTGAATGTTGAACATTTAAGTATGATTGATAACTGGTTATTAAGACCATATGAACAATATTATTTTTCTATTATAATAATGTTAAGAAACATCGAACAAATATTTTAAAATTAATTAAATTACGGACAACATATATAATTTTTTTAAAGGGTTATTAGTGAGAACGGCATTGTTTTTTTTTTTTTTTTTTTTTCTTATTGGGTACATCTACTTTTTCCTTATTAATAGTAGACCCGCCATTGCCCGCTGTTTTGTTTTATTTTTGAATATGATTTTCGTTTTATTTATTTATTTAATTAAAAAAAACCGATTAATTTTTTTTTTTTGCTCATTTCTATTTTATAGTTAAGCTCTTTTTTTGGTTTTTTTTTCTTCAGAAATCAGCTATAAAATTTACGAATCAACTGCATTTGTCATTTTCTTTTTACCAGAATCAACTATAAAGATAACGTAAACAACTACAAAAATATGCTGTTCAACAGCATGTTTTCCAACATGCAATCAACTATACATTATTGAAATCAACTACAAAAATATCACAATTATAAATAATGTTATCAACTATGAATTAGCGGAATCAACATAAAAAATCTATTGAAGTCAACTAAAAATAGAATTGTAGAATCGAAATCAACTGTAACATATCAAAACTATATTGCTGAATGAGACACCCAAGCTAGTAAAAAAATCAACCAATTCGAACAAAAACTGCTATAAATTCGAGCGAAAAAAAACTATAAAACGACCATTTTCTACAACGAAAAGCCTAACACATAAAATCCCAATAAAAAAAAAAAAGGAAAACTTCAAATTTCGAATTAAATAGCTATTCTTCACTCTGAAATTAATGAGATTATTGTCAAGCAACTAATTTAGATTGACAAGAATCATCCACATCATTCCTCAAATCACAAGAGGAAAAGTTCATATCTAAGCATTTTTCGTCATTGTGGCGATGGGGAGCGGCGGAGAGCCGCGTCAGGGAGATGACGGCGGCTTGTGGAGAAGGAAGAGAAATCTATAGAACATGATATATTGATGAGAGAGAGAATGAGTGGCTAGAATTATAATTATAAGTAGGGGCAATATAGGTATAACATTGACAATTGTTTAAAATACTTATTTAATTAAACAAGTAAGATGATTTCGCTTATAATACAAAAGCGGGTACATGCATATTCATATACTCATGAGTTGATGGTTTCCACTAATAACCCATTTTTTCAATGATCCCCTTAATTAGTTACATATAAAACACATTTTATGCGTTAAATTCCATGTACTTCACGTGTGTGAGTCTATATATATATATATATATATATATATATATATATATATATATATATATATGGGTGAATGGCAAATATGTCCATGTGGATCACATAGGACTTAAATGCATTTTGGTAAAAAAAAATAACAGTCTCTTAATTAAACACATCCCCATATCTTTAGTCTAAAATATCCTCCATAATATAATTCTTATCAATTACAATCAATTTCATCTATTATGCTCTAACTTCCTTACACATTGACCCCGTATTTAAACAAATATATCACATTAACCCTCAAATTTTTTTTTTAGAAAGTAATTTTTTTTCTGAATTTTTTTTCCGACCAGATTCCGGCGTTGACTTTTTTTTTTTTTTGAAAACTTATTTTTTCTTGAATTTTTTTTCCGGCCGATCAACCACCGTTGACCGCCGGTCTCCGACGTTGACTATTTTTTTTTAGAAAATAAATATTTTAATTAATATTGCTGTCTTTGCTACTAAATTACTGTCTCGGACGGTAATATTGCTGTCTTGGCTACTAAATACTGTCTCAGACGGTAATATTACTGTTTGGGACAATAATATTGTGAATATTATTTTCCCGAACAGTAATATTATTAATATTATTGTCTAAGACAGTTAAGTTACTGTTGGAGACAGTAATTTCGCAGGCAAGACAGTATTATTAATTAAAATATTTTTTTTTAAGAAAAAAAATTAAAAAGAAAAAAATCAAGTAACAATTAAATTACTGTCTCCGACAATTAAATAACTGCTGGAGACAGTAATTTAGCAACGAATACAGTAATATTAATAAAAATATTTTTTTAAGAATAAAAAAGTCAATTAACAGTTAAATTAATGTCTCCGACAGTCAAATAACTGCTGGAGACAGTAATTTAGTAACAAATACAGTAATATTAATTAAAAATATTTTTTTAAGAATAAAAAAATCAATTAACAGTTAAATTATTGTCTCCGACAGTTAAATAACTGCTGGAGACAGTAAATTAGCAACGAATACAGTAATATTAATTAAAATATTTTTGAAGAAAAAAAAAGAAAAAGTCAATTATCAGTTAAATTACTGTCTCCGACAGTTAAATAACTGCCAGAGACAGTAATTTAGCAGCCTAGATAGTAATATTAATTAAAATATATTTTTTAAGAAAAAAAAAAGTCAACGCCGGAGACCTGGCGGTCAACGGCAGTCGACCGGCCGGAAAAAAAATTCAGGGAAAAAAGGTTTTTCAAAAAAAACAAAAAAAAAAATCAACGTCGGTCAACGGCGTCGGTCGGCGGTCTCCGGTGGTGTCGGGTCAAAATTGAAATTATGGTTAAAATTGGTTAATTGATGAAATTGAGCTAAATTAGAGTGTAAATCATGAAATTGGAGTTGAATTGGATTTCAATGTATTGGGGGTAATTTTGGTATATGTATAAAGGGATTTTCCTTATTTTCAAATAAGTTTGAATGAGCTGGATTTATTTGAAAGGCAGAAAACATGAATGTGTCACTTTTAATTAAATGCCCTTGTCATGGGTCTATTTGCCATTTGCCATATATATATATATATATATATATATATATATATATATATATATTCAAAAATTCAAAATTAAAGAAAAAAACATTTTTGATCAAGTAAAAGACTAAATAAACACGAAAAATAAATATATTATTGCTAAAACAGATTAAAAAATAATATATTTTAAAGTCATCGTATAGAGAATATTGGGAGGAAAGGAAAAAAATTGTAAATAATGGATTTGAAATATGGGTTAAGGTTATAATATTTCAATTTATTTAATGACATATATTATTAAATCCTTTAAGTTTTAGATGTACCACTTATTGAATAAGCACACATATTTAGAATGATTGGTTAAGAGGTTGGCTCATTCAGATGTTGTCAACTTGTCATCAGACACAACCTTAATTTGAATTTTCCCAATATATCAATATGTAATTAGCTCTTACCATTAAAATAATATTTGAAGATATTGTACAAAACTAAGTCGAAAATTAAATTTTATTTACAAACACTAGAATTTTTAACTTTGGTTATTAAATCGGCTTTCAGCTTCCAGGACATTTACAAACATCCTCAACTTTTAGAAATAACTATTCTCTTTTTCCTTTTCAAAAGTTTTTTCAAGCACAACCTTAATCTATTAAACTAACCAATGTGTGATCTCCACCACATTTTAGTATTGTTTTGTTTTCTCTCCTTTTCATTTATTTAATGAAGAAATCACTAACTATATAGGTGTACTGATCAATAAATTACCTATAGTACTCTCGTATAATTATTTGATAATCACACGAAAAATGTAAACGACAGAGCTGCTTAATTTAGACTTTATAGAAAAACAGTTAATGCCACAATCTCATCAAAAATTATTTTTTCCACTACATATTTATATTTATTTTTGGATAAATAATTTCTTCACTACTTGGCTCGTGTTATTTTTAACATCTTTTCGCAATGCAAAACTGCAAATTAAACTAAATTTTCTAGTGGTGAGAGTTGAAATATTTTGCAGGAAATAAAATGCTTCACCTGTTTATTTACACCAGATAGATTCAAATAGTAGATTTGATTAAATAACTACTCACTAAGTAATACATACACATGAATATGTGTGTGATTGATTATACGCAGATCTACAGTTCAAACCCACTCAGTATAAATAACCTGATGTAGCAGCTAATCTGCAGATTTTGCCATATCAACTCATAATGATTTCACCCTCATTCTTTTTCACCCTTTCTTAATCTCTCAAAAAAAAAAAAAAAAAAAAAAAAAAAAAAGAATACCGCACCTTCGTACCAGAAAAGCCACTCCCCAAATGGATTTGGTCGGTACTATAATAATTAACCAAACCGCCCCCTTCTTCAAAAAGCATACCACAACTTCCACTCACCTTGTATGTATATGTATATATATACATATACATATAAACAAGTCTATATATATATATATATTCATAAGCTAAGTACAAAAAAAACTCATCAACTTGTTTAGAGAAGAACACTCCTCTATAGCTATATACTAAGAGTGGTCACACACTCCACAAATTCTTCAACGAACTTCCAAAAAACGTGGGCGCCTTCGCTCTCTTCGATCCCGTTGCTCTCTTTTCAAACCCTAGTACATTAGACTTTGGCCTACTACAAAAAATAACTGCATGCGCCTTTAACTAAATAAGTGGCCAACTTGTTTACTTCAATTTACTTCCTATATATATTATATATATAAATACTACTATATACACACTCATCATCAATTCATCATGGATTATTATTCTTCTTGCGGTAGATACTTTGTCGTAGTTTTCGTTACCACTTTATGCTTTTTGGCTCTTTCGGTTCAATGTAGGCCTTTTGAGTATTCGGAATTTCGCGTACTATCTCAAATATCGGCTTCCCCTTCTCCTGCGCCGGAGGGTTCGGATTCTTTTAGTCCGAGTTCACGTGAAAATTCTTCGGCTGCGGTTTTTAGTGTGATGTCTTATGGTGCTGTGGGAGATGGTGTTTCTGACGACACGCAGGCGTTTAAAACGGCTTGGGATAATGCTTGCCAGTCCGATGAGTCGGCTGTTATTCTTGTTCCTAAGCACTACACTTTCATGATCCAGTCTGCGATTTTTACTGGACCCTGTAAAAATGGACTTGTTTTTCAGGTAAATCAATCATCTTTTTTGGTAATTTAATTTTTTTTCCTTTCTTTCGGAATATTTAAATTGATTGCATGTTGAGTCGGTGGCGGAACGAGTATACGGTTTCTTTCTTTTTTTTTTTTTTTTGTAATATATAGTTATGTTGAATAGTGTTTTATTATGGGCCCTCATTGCAAAAAAATAATCTTTTGAGTGACAACACATATTTTTCACATTGTTAGGCAAGAAATACTGTCAGTATATATGTTTGTCACTAATGATGTGTCACTAATCTATATTATAGTGAAATAAATAAAAGAAAGATTTAGTACTTACAACAACAAGAAACTATTTACTGATCACAACAATTGATATTGTCACCATTATTAAGATTGTAAATGCCATTTTTCTTGGTATTGTATTGAATGTTATTTTTATTTTATTTTTAAATTATTTATATGGTGCGGTTAAAAGATCGAAGGAAGTATGATGCCGCCAGACGGGCCGAATTCGTGGCCGAAAAATTTCAGCAAGAGGCAGTGGCTAGTGTTCTATAGGATCAATGGAATGACAATGCAAGGAGGTGGCTTAATTGATGGAAGAGGTCAAAAATGGTGGGATCTCCCTTGCAAACCTCACAAAGTAAATCAATAAACTTTTTTTCTATTTCAATTTATTTAATTTCTCTAAACTTCTTTTTTTCTTGCATCATTTGACTTTATACTGCACATGTCTTAAAATAGGTCAAAAATGGAACCATTCCACCTGGTCCTTGTGACAGTCCAGTTGTAAGTCTAAATACAACATTATTTTTTTTTTCATATTGTCTCCTATATATAAATATATGTTAATAATCAATTATTTACATTTTTTTCTATTTAATTTCAGGCTCTAAGGTTTTTCTGGAGCTCTAAATTAATTGTGAAAGGGCTTAAAATCAAGAACAGCCCGCAATTCCATTTCCGGTTCGACAGCTGTCACGACGTCCACATAGATTCGCTGTACGTGAAATCGCCATCTGGCAGTCCGAATACCGATGGAATCCACATCGAAAATAGCAATGATGTGCAAATATATAACTCAGTCATTTCTAATGGTAATTATAATATTTATTATTATTTTTTATTTTTTTTCACACTATTGTTTTAGTAAAGTTATGTTGAGATATATATAATTGAGATTCTTTGATGTAGGTGATGACTGTGTATCCATTGGGGCTGGTTCCTATAATGTAGATATAAGGAACATCACTTGTGGTCCTAGTCATGGAATAAGGTATATTCTTTTCACACTTTTTTAATGAATTTTTGATCACTTTTTAACTTATATTTTATATTTAATTAAAGAATTTTTGCAATTTCCAATCTTGGTTGGCACAACTAACACCTTGATTTGATAATAAATATTTGCAAATCTTCCCGCAGTATGATTCAATTTTATTAGCAAACTACTCCCGAAAAGCGTATTAAGATTCTAAAAGAAATTTTCGTGGAGTTTTTTTTTTCTTTTTTTTTTACTATTTTATGATACGATAATCTTTTTTAGCAATTTGATATAAATAATGGGTGTTGAATGCAATAAACTCGCATAAATACCACTAAGAATCTTAAAAAAATAATGCGTGTCCATTTCTCGATGCAGCATCGGTAGCCTAGGAATCAAGAACTCGCGCGCATGCGTATCAAACATCACCGTAAGAGACTCGGTCATCAAGCACTCGGACAACGGTGTGAGAATCAAGACATGGCAAGGTGGATACGGTTCCGTATCAAAAATCACGTTCGACAACATCCACATGGACACGGTCCGAAACCCTATAATGATCGACCAATACTACTGCAGCAACAAGGCGTGCTTGAATCAATCCTCGGCGGTGTACGTTAACGACATTTCTTACACGAACATCAAAGGCACGTACGATGTGAGAAGCCCTCCGATGCACTTAGCCTGCAGTGATGCAGTTCCGTGCACGAACCTCACGCTTTACGATGTGGAGTTGTTGCCTTCTCTAGGGCAGAGAATATTGGACCCTTTTTGTTGGAACGCGTATGGTGATATTAAGGCCGTCACGGTTCCGCCGGTTTTTTGCTTGATGGAGGGGTTTCCTCAGGCGTTGCTTAGTAGCGATGTCGATCAATGTTAGGGTTTGTTGTGATAATTAAATGTAAGTGTATCTTTTTTTATGATCATAGTAGTTATATCTATAGTTTGCATTATTGTACTTAATTGTGGGGGAAAAAGTTAATGTTGTTATGGGGCAACACAATTAATGTATTGTTGCTTGAACTTCCCATTGCAATTTTTCTTGTGTTTTTTTGGGCAAGATTGTACCTTTTTTATTGATAGTAGTATAGTGACGGAGCCAGCATAGGGTTATGATGGCTCATTGCCACTAATGTTTTTCAAATATTTAATATTTTATACAAAAAAAAATTCGTGTATAGCAGCATTATCGGCCCCTTTGAAAAAATTATTGTGTATTTGGCCGCCGCAAATATAAAATCCGGGCTCGATTAATAGTAATACAAAATTTAGAATTCCTACAAATATTCCATTTGATTTTGTATTGCAGCCAACTAAACATTTAGTTATTGTAAAAACTATATGTAATTCAGTAATTGTGTCTTTTATGACTATTGTAGTTATTATATATATACTTTGCATTATTGTACATAATTGTGGGGGCAAAAATAATCTTGTTTTGGGCAACAAAATTAATGTATTGTTGCTTGAACTTTTCCATTGCAAATTTTCTTGTGCTTGTCTGGGCAATGTTGTACCTTTTTAGAGAGAATATAAATATCTTTTAGGGCTACTCAATGGTATATCTCATCATGATATACAATGTTACATATAATTTGTCCTGTCAATGGATGACTTAGCGGTTGAAGCAAGTGAGCATGTGTCAATCGACTCAGTTTCGAATTCCCTTGCCAACGATCGCTGGGTGGGGCCTAGTTTACGTCTCTCGTATGGTTTGCAAGTTATTATACGAGAGTGTAGATTTACCCAGTAGACCTATATGATTGACTGCGGTTCCTTCATTACCAAGAAAAAATTATATATATATATATATATATATATATATATATATATATATATATATATATATATATATATATATATATATATATACATATATATATATATATATATATATATATATATATATATATATATATATATATATATATATATATATATATATATATATATATATATATATATATATATATATATATATATATATATATATATATATATATATATATATATATATATACATATATATATATATATATATATATATATATATTATACGAGTAATTATATTGATAAATAAAACACATAGATACACTTCACACACCTAGAAATTATACAAATACATACATGTACACACCTTTTAACACTCGTGAGCACACACACTGCGCACACAAGAACGCACAATCTGCACACATCTATAATACGGTTATTTTTATGCTATATCGGATGATTTTTTATCGGTTATTTACACATACCACTGTAGATGTGTGGATGTCTATATAAATGGTAAAGATTTACTCGATGTATTTATCATATATAGCGTAGTATAAACCCTATGATACAAACGCTTCACACACACTTCACATGAAATTAATAAAGAAATTAAAGACCATAAACTGATGAAAATTGTCGGTAAAACAATGGAAATATGCAATAAACTAAGAAAAACAAACAATAAACGAACGAATAATGGAAGTGGATATATATCCTCTTGTGCTTGTAATATCAGTTCATAACCTCTTATGGCTAATGGAAGTAGCGTCCGTTAGTTTTCTTGTCAAACTTAATCACAGGTGTCAAACTTTATGTGAGTTATCTGTAAACATTAAAGGAAAAATGTAAGCACAGAGAGGTCGGTAATCTGCAAAATGTAGTATGTTGATATTTGACAAGCGCAGTTAATTTTGATGAAAAAGCGTTGCACCTACCTATCGCAAGAAGGTTATGTTCAGATATTACGATCACAAGAAAATTATCTGCAAAAATTTACCGCGAGGCGTTTAAGTACTATTTACCCAAATATTGAGTATAACAAGACATCAACTAAGGTAGTAAGATAGTAAACCAATAATAACAACATAAATTGCCAGTTTTAATTCGAAACATTTCTGATTTTGAAACAATTTTTTTTATTACTATTTTAAATTCCAAAAGTTTCAAATTTTGATTTTTTTTTTTCTTTTTCTAACGGGATGGAATTACCATACTTTCCAAGAATTTTACTTTTTCTTTTTCCGAAAGTGCTAATCCCGATTTGATTCATCTAAATTTCACCCTTACAGGAGATGAATTATTATAAAATGGTAAAATTAAAGAGAAATGAAATAAAAGAGGATTTGACTTTGATGAAAAAATAAAAGGAAAAGGAAATTTTGATGGAAGTGGAATGGCGGCTGAGGCGGTGAATAGTTAATAATAATAAATAATAATTGTTGTGGGGGTGGGGGTGGGGGGGGGGGGGGGGTTGGGGGTGGTTGGGTTGCCTTGGTTTTTAAAAGTGAAAGCGGGGCACCGGGGGGGGAAATA